CGCTCCCCGCACCCAGGGGGCCACATGCGAACCCTGCCCCTACCCCCCACGGCTTCTGAGGGGGAGGGTGGGGTTCGCTTCGCTCGAGAGCTCCCGAACGAAGTGAACCCCACCCTCCCCCTCAGAAATCGTGGCGGGTATGGGCAGGGTTCGCATGTGGCCCCCTAGCACCACTCAGGGGGACGCCGCGCCGCGACGGGTGCAGCGTTCGCCCGCCCTTCCAGGCTCTCCGAGAGCTGGGCAGAAGGAATCCTGCCCGTTCTGTGTCGCTCGCCTCCTCCTCGCTTGCAGGAGGATCCGGAGGAGAAGCGGAAGGAGGAGCGAGGAAGAGGAGGATGCAGAGCCACGGAACTCGACATCGGATATGGGAGGGGAGAGGGGAGGGAGAAAGCGAGAGGGTGCGAGGGGAGGGGACTGAGGTGCAGTAGCGGATGGTCAGCCCTGCCTGCGAGGCTGCTACAGCGAGTGACAGCCGATGGACGAGACGCCACAGCACACTTGAACTCACACTTAACTTTAGGTCGGGCATGTCCCCCTACAGGCGGATTGTGGACGGAAAATTTAAAAATACTCAAAGCATACCCAAATCATGTTAAACAATACTAGCAAAATCGTCCCCATACTATTTTTGACTATTTTTGAAGTTTCCTCACGTAGAGGGACGTGCCTGATTTACACTTAACTCCGCGGGGGAGTGAGGCTGTAAAGAAGGAGGACGAGGATGGATGAGGAAATAAGGACGAGGAGGAGGAGGAGGCACGAAAAGTCCCGTCTGGAAAGCAGTGGTCAGGCGTCACATGCCTGACACATTAGAACCCTGCGACTGCATCAATGTTTCTTCCCGCGACGTCTGGGACAGACGCCGTCTTGGTTGCCGCGCCGATCTTGCAACCAACGTGTCGTGGAGACACGGACATCTGATTCAGGTCAGGGCGAGTGAGGAAGAAAGAGATGTATGACGGGGCGCCGGCGGGGAGGAGGCCACCTCATTTCCGATCTGGGTGCTCTCATGGCGCGCGCCCGCATGCTGAGACATCTCGTGGGCACGACGCCTGAGGCTCCTCTCCACAGGGATCTAGGCATCATCCTCCCCCCGAGATTGACAAGCGCAGCGCAGGGCATCGAAGGTCTGGCTCTTGGAAGGGACAAGTCTCAGAAGAGCGTAGGGACCCTGCATGTCAAGGGCGCTCCCCGATCGCCCTTCCAAGGATGCTGTGGTTCCACGGGTCGCTGGGTGACATCCTCGGCAGACAGAAACGATGGGACAACGGAAACAAGCATGCGGCGAGCATAAGCCGTGGCAGCCGGCAGCTGATGAGCCCTCTGCCACACCCTGCAGTTCCGTGAGGATCGAGGGCAGCAGCACGCAGATCAAAGGACAGAGAGGTTATAGCACTCGAGTGGACAATGGCTCCTCCTTCCCTCCTCCCTCCTCCCTCCTCCCTCCTCCCTCCTCCTCCTCCTCCTCCTCCTCCTCCCTCCCTCCTCCTCCTCCTCCTCCTCCTCCTCCTCCTCCTCCCTCCTCCCTCCTCCTCCTCCTCCTCCTCCTCCTCCTCCTCCTCCTCCTCCTCCCCTCCTCCTCCTCCTCCTCCTCCTCCTCCTCCTCCTCCTCCTCCCTCCTCTTCCTCAGCGAGAGGCGATCACGAATTTGATCAAATGTCAACAGAAGAGAGCGAGAAGGGGGGCAGGCAGAACGGGCGGGATGGACCTGGACACCGACAGCTACGGGGGCGTGGAAGCGCCCCTAGCGGCAGGGAGAGGAAGGTCAGTGTACGCAGGTGTGGGGGGGGGCATAGCGGGACGGAGCGCAAAGACGGGGCCCCGTCTCTGCCTCCTGCCCCGGGAGAGTGGACAGGGACAGAAGCAGGGGCAAGGGTGGGGCAGGGACAAGGACAGGGGCAGAAACATACACGGGCACAACGACAGGAAGCGTGAGGAGTCGTAGAGAAAGGGCGGTGGCGAAGGCGCTGACAGTGACTCACAAACAACACCTCGCCGACCCCCCCACCCCCCTGCGGCTTGCGACAAGACGTCTTCGACAAAATGCCCCTCACCTGTTCTCGTCCTCCGTGGGATGGGGCGCGCAATTGTCCCCGCTCCAAGAACTCAGTCGACGGACCTCCGTGGCATCCCAACCATCATCATCGTCGCAGCACTTGTGGTCTTTCCGCAAGCCGCCTGTAACTCATGGAATAAGGGATAGGAAGACTAGAAGGAGGCGGCCAAGGGCCAAAAGGAGAAATAACAAGATCGGAAACTGAAAAAAGGGACCGGATTGAAACGGAGTCGCCCAACCGGGAAATCGGTCTCGATTGTTCCTTGATTGCTCCGCGATCGCTCCGTGGTTGCCCCGCGCTCGCCCCGCCGTTGTCCAACGAGTGTCCTCTGTTGTCCTGTGGCTATTCCATGGTTGTCCTGGGATTGTCTCGTGGTTGCGCTGTGGTTCTTCCACACGTGGCCTGTGATTTTTTCTTTGGTTGTCCGGTGTGACCTCATGAAGGCTCGGCTGCGACGTGTCACCATACACAACGTGTTACAACATAAACTGCCGCCATAACTAAAATTGCTTCAAACACACGTGTAAAACGGAACAGCTCCCGCAATCCCCGGAGCCATTGAAACTTCAAACTGTAGGAATACACACACAAACATCTCACGGCAACAACCACCTCTGAACAACATCTGAATGACGACGGCGGGTGGGCGGAGTGCTCCCCTCACGAACGACGAATACCGATTGTCTGATGTACACTCTTGTACCGATCCACAGCCGATGTTTCCGCCGAATCGCAGTGCCGCATGGAACAGAGGAACCAGGACGCCATAGAAGCATGTCAAACGAGGAGGAGGCGGAGGAGGAAGGGGAGGGAAAAGCGTCATGACACACAGCCCCCAAACGAACAAAGGAAAAGAGAGAAGAGAGGAAAGAGGAGAGAGGACAAGACAGGTGCGCTCGCGCCATATCTGACATCCTACCCCCTCCCACCAATCCGTTCCCATAACGATGATTGGTCGACATCCGCGGACGCGTGTCATAGCGGAAATGGAACTCTAAACAAGACACCATCGCATTCTGCCCAATCGGAAATAAAGGGGGAGGTGCGTACATGTATAAGAGAATCGGGTGTCGGATGAGCCGGAGGAAAGGGAGGCGGATGAGGGAGGAGGAGGACGAGGACGAACAGCATCAGCAGGAGCTGCAGTGGACGGAGCGGGAGGAGCAGTATGACAAAGGAAAGGCGGAGGAGGGTAAAGGAGAGGGGGCGACAACGATGAGGAAAGACTCGGATCTAGAAAGGTGGCCCGCGCTGGGGCGAGAGCGTCATGTTGAACGACGAGAGCAAAGCCTCGATCCTAAAACGAAGCCAGCACTGTGGCAGGAACACAATTTTGAAGAACAGCGAAAACGCTCGGATATAAAAAGCACAAGAAAACACAGCTCGGACCCATCGTGTGCAACAAATGAATACGCGGAAAGGGTGCGCGCGCGACTGTCGAACCGTCTGCGGGGGAGAGAAGACACTAGCGTTCCGGATGAACCGATTGCATAACCGTAGAGAGGAGGAGGAGGAGGAGGAGGAGGGGGAGGAGGAGGAGGAGGAGGAGGAGGAGGAGGAGGAGGAGGAGGAGAGGAGGAGGAGGGAGGAGAGGAGGACGAGGCGAGGAGGAGGAGGAGGACAGGAGGAGGAGACGAGACGAGGAGAGAGGAGCGAGAAGGCGGAGCATGAGGAGGAGAAGCGAAGCCAGAGAAGAGGAGCGAGGAGGAGGGTGTCGCGGACCGGGCGAGCGGCGGCAGGAGAGCGGCGGAAGCCGGGGGGGGGGCCTTCTCCTCCTCCTCCTCCTCCTCCTCCTCCTCTCCTCCTCCTCCTCCTCCTCCTCCCCCTCCCGTCCTCCTGTTCCTCCTGTTCCTCCTCCTCCTCCTCCTCCTTCTCCTCCTCCTCCTCCTCCTCCCTCCTCCTCCTCCTCCTCCTCCTCATGCTCCTCCTCCTCCTTCTCCTCCGCCTCCTTCTCCTCATCCTGCTCCTCCTCCTCCTCTTCCTCCTCCTCCTCATCATCATCATGCTCCTCCTCCTCCTCCTCCTCCTGCTCCTCTCCTCCTCCTCCTCCCCTCCTCCTCCTCCTCCTCCTCCTCCTCCTCCTCCTCCTCTCCTCCTCCCTGCTCCCCTCCTCCTCCTCCTCCTCCTCCTCCTCCTCCTCCTCCCCCTCCTCCTCCTCCTCCTCCTCCTCCTCCTCCTCCTCCTCCCTCTCCTCTCCTCCTCCTCCTCCTGCTCTCTCCTCCTCCCCTCCTCCTCCTGCCTCCTCCTCCTCTCCTCCTCCTCCTCCTCCTCCTCCTCCTCCTCCTCCTCCTCCTCCTCCTCCTCCCGCTCGGGGCTCCTGGACACGTAGCCGATCTTCATGGAGTCGCACCCAGCCAGAACGGCCTCGCGCGCGCGCTCCAGGCGCGGGGGGGGGTCCCGTCGGACTCTTGGCCGTGTGGGCGCGTGGGGGGGCGAGGGAGCAGGAGCGGAAGGGGATGAGAAGGAGATGAGAGAGGAGGAGGAGGAGGAGGAGGAGGAGGAGGAGGAGGAGGAGGAGGAGGAGGACGAGGAGGAGGAGGAGGAGGAGAAAGAGGAGGAGGAGGAGGAGGGACAAAAAAAGAGGAGAAGGACAACGACACGGATAAGGCGCTTGGAGGCCCCAGCAGCTGTCACAAGTGGCTTGCTCAAACCTCTGCGAAGCAACATGGACGCAGTGGTCCTTCGTAGAACTTTACGGTTGGCTTGCCTGCGGGTGGCCTCTGGGCTGTACCGAAGGCCGCTGCCTCGGCAGAAGGACCGCCATCATATCTTTCTATAGTATGGAGGGCGAGGCGGGGCAGGCGCCTGCGTGCATCGACTCCAGAGCCGAACTTCCCACTGCAGCAAAGAAAGAGAGAGAGAGAGAGAGAGGCTGAGAAACGTGGGTGCGCGATGACGTCCAAACCCAACTCCCTTCCACTTGGACGCGCAGGAGAAGGAGGAGGAGGAGGAGGAGGAGGAGGAGGAGGAGGAGGAGAGGGACGAGACACGACACGACGCTCTCAAGGAAAGGGAGAGAGAAACGATAACTGCAAATCTCACGAGCGAGCTGACTCTTGACGGTTTGCGTGCATGTGGCGTACCCCTGACCACCGTGGGAAACGAAGCCATCGGTGGCGTCCTCGGCGGCGCCCCGCTCGGTTCCTTCGTCTTGGCCCAGATGCCGTCGTTCGCGCAACCGTCGTGAAGGTTGCACCAACCATCCTGCACCGTCATCGTTCACTCATCGATCGTCCGGCCGCGGTTCTCGTACACGCTGAGCTCCCCCGCGCAGGGCCTCTCTGCTGCGAGATGCTCTTGTCCACGATCACTCCTCCGACGTTCCTGCTAGGGGGCCACATGCGAACCCTACCACTACCCCCCCACGAGTTCTGAGGGGGAGGGTGGGGTTCACTTCGTTCGGGAGCTCCCGAGCGAAGTAGACCCCACCCTCCCCCTCAGAAATCGTGGGGGGTGGGGATAGGGTTCCCATGTGGCCCCCTACCTGCTGCAGCCAGTGCCCTCGTCGACGTCGTCGGCCTGCTGATTGAGCATGCTCGCCGCGGGCGCCCTCGCGCACTCGTCCTCGCCACTCTCGCACGCTATCGAGAGCGAGCCTCGCGAAGCCGTGCGCCAGCACCTCCTTTTGGCCCCGCAAGCCCAGGAGAACTTCAGCCGCTGCCTCCGTGAGCGAGCGCCTCGAAGGCGGCACACATCTCCTTCAGGCCCTTTGTGGGTGGCCACCGAGAGCTATGGTGCTCCCATCGAACTTGAGGACCACATCCCAGAAATATGAAGGGGCCCCAGGACACACAAATAAATACACACTAATAAACATAGTCTCCATATTTCCCATCTTTTCTGGGTTTTCGTCTCCCCCCCACTTCCCATAGTTTCCCATATTTTCTGGGGAATCGACGATTAATTATGTCTGTATGTTTTTTCCCTCCTGAAAATAAACTCGAGCACCCAGAAAAGTGTCGAAACAGTGTCGGAACAGTGACGGACGAATGTCCCCCCGGGGCCCGACACGTGAAGCGCCTCGTGGACCCGTACTTCTGGGTGCCCGAAACTCCTCCTTTTCTGGCGATCCAGGCCAAAGCAGGTTGGAGCAGCATAAGCCGAGAGGCAAGACCTGTCAGAGACTCCGACTTTCGGCGGGTCGTCTCCCCGGAAGACACTGAGGGGGAGGGGGAGGAGGAGGAGGAGGAGGAGGAGGAGGAGGAGGAGGAGGAGGAGGAGGAGGAGGAGGAGGAGAAGGAGGGGGAGGGGGAGGGGGAGGAGAGGAGGAGAGTGAGGAGGAGGAGGAGGGGAGGAGGAGGAGGAGGAGGAGGAGGAGGAGGGAGGAGGGAGGAGGAGGAGGAGTGGAGGAGGAGGAGTGAGGAGGGGAGGGGGGAGGGGGAGGGGGAGGGGGAGGGGGAGAGGGGGAGGAGGAAGGAGGATGAGGAGGGGAGGTAGGAGGAGGGGGAGGAGGAGGAGGAAGGAGGAGGAGGAGGAGGAGGATTATATCCAAAACCTCAGAAGGCACCCAGCGGGCGACGGAGGCCAGCAAGGTTTTAAGCAACCGAGAGGTTGCAGCCAATATGCCGTCTGCGGCGCGCAACGGCTGCACGGTCCCCGTGTGCCACTCTGCGCGGCGTCGGGCCTGCAGCCCCCCCTGGGCCTCTCGGGCCCCCAGGAAGCCCAGGGGCCCAGAGAATATACACCACCACCACGTCGATTCCTCCTCTCTCCTCTACCCTCCTCTTCCTCTCCCCTTTCCTGGGAGGGGGAGGGGGCGGCGGAGGTGGTGGTGGTGGTGGTGCATATTTTTGGGCCCCCCCACAGGAGACCCAGGGGCCTTCGCCGCCCTCTCGAGAGCCCCCGAGCTTGGGAGCCCAATCCCAGCACGGCTCCCGACGCAAGAGCGTGCCGTGCTGGCTGGGGAGAAGAAGCAGGCCTTGCTGGCGTTGGCCCCTGATCGTATCAGTCGCACCTCCAGCGCAGCATCTATCCGATTGCCCCAGAACTTTGCAATATTTTGCTTTGTCAGATTCATATCTTGATGTGCGGATAATGAACTGTCGTGTACGTCGGGTAAGTGAACTGCAGTGGACGTTCGGCGTGCTGCCATGTGTAGTTCCGCCGCTCTCTCTCGGAGAGCTCGTTGGTATGCTGCCTGGTGCTCGGGTCGAGGAAACCATTCCCTGCCGTCTAAATTTGTTTCGCTCTCTCACTTTCGCTTGCCATGGATCTGAATGACGCGGGACGGGTTGCTCATGTCTCTGGCTGTTCGCTCCTCCACGGAACCCCCCGCTACTCTCTCAAGCTCTGGCGTCTGGCGCGGCAACCGAGCTCGATCCCTTCTCGCTGGCGCCTCGGTCTTTCACTGGCGGCCTCGGGCGGTTCTGCCGTAGTCCGATTCTGCCTGCGCGTGACCTTGGCCAGCAGCTCTCCCGCCGCCTTCTCGAGCTTCCCTGGCGGCGCCCTGTTCTGAACTACTACGATCGCCTTGCAGACCGCCACCGCGGTGCCCGTTGCCCTCTTGAGCAGCGGCCTCGGGTGGCCCCCCGCGATCTCCAAGCAGTTGTCCTCCGCCGCGGCGTCCGCCGGCGCCGACGCGATCGGTGCCCGGTTGATGCAACGCTGGATGATTCCCTTTTCCGCCACGTCGTCCCTCTCGCCCTTGTTGCGGGTCTGCGTGCACTCCAGATTTCGTAATAAAGGGAGGGGGGTCTCATTTCGGGGGGGGGGTTCTCCCAGGCTATCTTGGAGGGCCTGGGGGGGTCTGGGGACGATGTTCTGGAGGGTTCTCCCACGGGGGAGGTCTGAAATGGCTTGTCTTGGAGGGTCCAGACCCCCTCCCTTTTGTTGCGACACCTGGAGCACTTGCAGGCCAGGCAGCACTCCGCAACGACCTGCGGGCCTCGCTTCGGGTCGCCGGCCGCCGAGCTGGACTCCTGCAGCGCCCCCGGCGCCTCCACGCGGCGCGGCCCGAGGCCGCCCGCTGCCTTGCCCCCGAGTTCCTCGAGCTCCCCCGCTGCCGCCCCCGCCGGCAAGATGGCCGCGCACGTGCTCCTCGTGCTCTTCTTCTTCTTCTTCCTCCTCCTCCAGGGTTCACGCTACCCTCCTCGTGGGGCTGCCATTCCTGGGGGCCGAGATGCTGATGGGTTTTCCAGCCGTCAGGGTGATCAGAAGGTGTTGCCACCGTCTTGGGCCTCGAACCGACTCCTCCAAACCCACCGCGGCTAGTCTGCCATGTGCTGAGCTTGCGGCGGAATTTCTTAGTTTGGTTGAGGTCGGAGAATGCCCGCATCTCGTGCGCGCGCGTGGAGGGGGGAGGGGGGAGGTCCATCTCTTTTGATACTGGCAGGTCGTCTCTAAGCCCTCTTGCTCTGATCTTCTGCAACCTTTCAGCAGCTCAAATTACCAAGCATCTTTTCACTGATCCCATTACCCGGTCGGCATAACAATATGATCCAGCCTAGCTGGGCGACCTGTCGACCATAGTATGTAGCCCCCATCTTCACGCAAGACGTCACTGTCGTTAGGTGCTTGCTCCTGCGCAGTTTCTTACAAACAACAAGGTGTTATGTGGGTTTCCCATATTCGTGTACACTGTTTGTTATGATTGCTCCTGCGCTCTGCTCTGCATGCCCGTCTGCGCCCGTGCTTCCCTAAGTCCGTGCTCGCGCCCCCTCACAACATGATAGTGGCCCGGCACCTCAACCGATGAGTATCTTGCTCCAGCCAGCCGGGCGTTCGGTACGCAATGTCTGCGAAGTTCTCCCCGTGGATGGGGCAACAGCACGTCGCCAATACTACCTCATCTCATGTTCCATTTCTTGTGTATTTCGATACCTTGCCCTGGGCATCTGTAAGCGGCACCTCGATACGCGCTATGTCCTTGAAAAGGCTGCGATGCGATACCAAGGTAGCCGTTCCACATGCTACACTCGAGTACCTCCACCCATCTGAATATACGCGTGATAAGGTAGGTGTGTCCGCTGCGTTGACTTGGGCCAGCTCCACTTCTGAGCGCAATCGATACCACATCCCACCGAGAAGGCGACACGGATCGAACGACGATAGAACAGCAACAGACATGCACAATCCTGGTGAAGCGTGGGTCGCTGATGTGCTCGCCCCCGCTCTCGCGTCTCCAAAGATCAGAAGAGGATCCTCCAGGCTTTCCAGCTCCAAGACACCCTCCAATGTCCTCTAAATTGGCACCCATCGATGTTCCAGGCCTCTTCCTGAGGGGGGGGGGGGACTCTAGTGTAAGGCGACGGCTGCCAGCCTCGTAGCCACAGGCACGGCTCGGCTTCCACCTGTGAGAAGGCTGATGCCACCAAACGTTCGCTATGCTCATGTGCCTTCACTCCCAGGTGCGGTGGAAAGCCGTCTCTGTCTTCTCTGGTTTCAGCCTACACCTTAGGCATGAAACGTTAATATCCTGAGCGTCCTTGATCTCCTCCTGCCTACGAGTGCGAGCCCACGCCACAGGGGAGGAGTAAGAGGATGGATGGGAGGAAGTGGGGGAGGAAAAGGAGCCAGGGGAGGGGGGACCGGGAGGAGAGGGGAACAGAGGAGCAGGAAGATGACGTAAAGATGGCGGCGCGCGTCCTACTAGACTGTCAAACTATCCTGAGGGTCCCTGAATCTCGGCCCCTCCCTGTCCTGCCGAAGCAATCAAGCTCGAAGTGCCCGCTAGCCGTAGCACCGACGATCGAGATCGGCAACGCTCTGTTTCACACGCACGCACACACACACACACACACACACACACACACACACACACACACACACACACTTCGGCCACCGCGCTATCGGATCGAGGCAAAGCCGCCACCGTGCTCGCACGAGGGTGAGACGTTAGAATGCTGGTTCGTTGCCTGGTATGCTGTTTTCCAGGAGCAACCCCTTCCCTGCCGCAACAAACAGCATCCGAAAAGACCTCCCCCCCAATGTTTTACCCGGGCGCACGTTGGTCCAAGACGGCCAAACACCGCCCCAAGACAGCGGCACGACGCAGCCCGCTACATAAACCCTCGCGTGGCAAGGGCAATCCTGCCCAGAGGCCCGGACAACTACTGAGCAGCGGCTCTTCGTGACAGACCCTGGCAGAGAGAGAGACCACAACGGAACGCGTCGGGGAACGGGACATGGGCATGACGAGAAGAGCAGCAACAGCAGCGACGGTGGCAGGGCAGAGCAAAAGGAAGATGCAGACCTCGGCAGCACCCCTCCTCTCTTGGGCCCAAGGCGCGGCACGGCGGGAGGCGTAAGACGAGAGGGCCTCGCACGCCGCAGACGAAACCTCGGTGCCATGACCGCACTGGTAACCTTAGGTCGGACATGTCTCCCTACAGGCAGATTTTGGAGGAACAGTTAAAACGTTATCGAACATACAGAACATGATCAAACATAGTCGAACAAAAAATCGTCACCGGACTCTTTGTGTGACTATGTTTGGCTATTCCTCCTGTAGGTGGACATGCCCGACTTCATAATGCGAACACCACGGGTCTTATCCTGGAGCGGGCACAGCCAAGAGCGAACCTCCACGCCGAACCCCGCCACAAAAGCGAGCCCGTCACTCGCAGCCAAGGAGATCACGGAGCTGAAGAAAGGGCGGTCCGCCGCCTGGGCCGTCCATCTGCCGAGCTTGAAGGCGTTGTTCTTGATTTCCTCCGCTCCCGCTGCGGCGACGGCGAGGAGTCAAAGCATTCGGAGGGCGACGAGCTGCGGGCACCGCTCGGGGATCCCTGGCGGCCCCGTGCGCTTCGAGGGAGCGAGCAGGGGAGGGAGCAGGAGGAGGCGACCCACTCCGATTCTGGACAGCTGGGTCCGGGACATATATCTGAAGCCTCCGGTCACAGGCAGAGGGCGAGAAGGCGAGAAGGGCGAGAAGGGGAGGGAGCAGGGTGAGGCAACCCACTCCGATTCTGGACAGCTGGGTCCGGGAAATGTATCTGAAGCCTCCGACCACAAGCAGAGCGACAGGGCGCAGAATCGCCTGCGCCCGGAGCGCACCCTCCCCGGTAGGGGGCCCACCCGGATCTCCAGGACGAGAGCTGGCGTCCCCCCAGTACAGACTCTGCATGACCGTGTCGAATCCGTGTCGAATCCGCGTCGAATCCACGCCAAATCCGCGTCGAGTCCGCAGCGAGCACGCGTCGGGCCCCCCGGAAGACACCAATTTGGGGGACAGGCGAGGTCCCCCGAAGATGCAACAGAAGTAACTGACGGTAGTGGAGCACCAATAGGAATCGAGCTAGGGGAGCGCCAGGAACCTGGAAGCACGTCTGGACTCCCTGGCAGCACATCGGAAGGCCACGCGCTGGATGCGCATGCGAAAAAGCCAGGCCTGCCTGGTCACAGGAAGGCCGAGCGCCGGAACGGCACCCGGCCACGCGCGGGCGACTCCAGACACCCTGAACCCCCACTGGCCATCGCTCGGACGTCCATTCCCTGTGCTTTTTCTCGGTTTCGTGCGTGTTTCTTTTCGCCAAATGACCAAGGATGCTCCTCGCTGGTCTTTGCCGAAAAAAACACGTACACGTCCGAGCGATACCGAGCCCAAAAACGTGTTCATCTCTTGGCGGCGCCGCTTTTACTTCCGCCGCCTGCCGCCGCCCCTCCGCAGGCTTCCGCCGCCCCTCCGCCGGCGGGGGCGGCCTTGTTTCTTACTTCCGCCGACCTGCCGCCGCCTTCCTCCGCGGAAGGGATGCCAACTCCTGCGATCCTCGAAGGCAAGCCCCTCGTGGAACGCCACTAATCCAGCTCTCGCGATCCGGCGTTTCAAGAGCCGCTTCCCTGACAGTGGAATCGACGTAGAAGGGCCAGAGCGGCAGAAAAGGTGAGGTCTAGTTCTGATCCAAGTAAACGGTATTCGCAACGATGCGCGCGGCCGCACATGCAATTACTGCCATTGGGGCCTTCGGTCGAGCCAACGCACATCGAGCCTTTGCAATTCGCCCGGGCCAACCGCATCCTGTGCATATCCAGCTCACAGAATTTTCGCACGTTCGCTGAGGCACACTTTGAGCAGGGGCCTACCGTCCCGGCATTCCTCTATGCCTACCACGACAAGTTCGTAGAACCCAAACGTGCTCTAATAACAAAAATAACGTGTTTAGAACATAAGATCGATGTGTTTCAACACCAGAAATATTATAATAGCATTTCGCGCAGAACACAAAAGGTTCTTGGAACTTTCTTTGGTGGGCCTATAGGCGAGCCAAGACGCTTCGCCATTGCTTGAGCACTGGCCCAGGTATAATACCGGGGCCTTCCTCAAACACCGGCGCTGCTGCACGATCGTCTAAGACAATTCCAGAAACACCTCAGCGGATGATGTACCGCATGGGCGCACGCATTACCGGGAATACCGTATCGCACCTGTGCCAACAATGGCAACGAATAGCTGATGATATTTTCTACGTGGTGATACGTGGAATCTAAAGGTGAAGCGCCTCACTGATCATCCCTGCGCCCCCTCCCGAAACTACTTCTCCTGTGCATGCTGTTTAAGCGGGGCTACACATGAGGTTGCACACCTTCGTTTTCAACATGTTCCCCTAATTCGAAAACATCAGCGGCCCGTGGATCCAAAGGCAGCAGAACACCAGGGCCAAAGCAATGCCAAATCCTCAAACTGCGGACACTGGCGAAACGGACCCAACGCGCAAGCCGACAAGACTACAGGAAGGACTGGCACCAGCAGAAAGCGACTTCGCCTTCGATGGCGCATGGCCGCGAGGAGTGAGCAAATCTCCTTCTCACCCTCAGACTGAAGTCGGGCATGTCCTCCTACAGGCGGATTTGGGGGAAGAGAAGCGACAAATGGTCAAACAATACTCAGACACTGTCAAGCATAGTCGACAAAGCCTCCCCAGAGTAATCTCTGACTATTTTTGGATACTCCTCCTGAAGATGGACATGCCCTAATTAACCTCAGACCCCCAAACCATGCAGCGCAGAAGCACCCGCAAGCCAGGCCTTAGTGGGCACCGGAAACGGCAGGGCCGTTTTTTTTTACCGTCTCCGAAAAAGTGTCCCTTGAAAATGGAAACGGCAAACGACGGCGTCCGGAAACAGCAAAACACGGCTCCAGGATTGAAGCCCGAGCCGGGACCGGTAAAACATCGGCGACGGAACCTGGGAAGACCGGCGTCGAGGAGGAGGAGGAGGAGGAGGAGGAGGAGGACGAAGAGGAGGAGGAGGAGGAGGAGGAGGAGGAGGAGGAGGAGGAGGAGGAGGAGGAGGGGGTGGAGGATTTTTTTCCCACTGCAGATGCCTTCCACCTCAAATGAACCAGGCGGCCCCGAGGGCTGACCGCCTAGCCCCGATCATTGTGACCAGGGGCCCCTCTGAACGGTCACGCCGGGGAACTTCGGATGGTGACCTGACGAAATCGTCGTCCAGGCAGCTGAAGCTCCCGCACTTCGGGGGGCCTTGTTGCATTCTTTGGCGAGGTTCCTCACCTGGCCATGGCCTGAGTAGGCCTTGCATTTCAGACACACGACCAGGGTCGCCCCGTCAGAGCATTCAAGTGAAACGCACCTGTGCTGAAGCCTCGAGAGGACCTGGGGGTCAAGCCTATGGAGACCCCGACAGTTCCCCCCAGCAGGTTTGTCACGAGACCGACTGACCTTCAAACACCCTCCACAACGCCAGAATTTCGAAGTAAAAATCCAACGATGGGGCACGACATCGGGCCTATCACGAGCAGGAGGCTTGGTGCGCTCAACTCCCTCTTCGAGGCGGAGCGCAGGCCAAAGGGGCAGCAGCTTCGCCGCCAGCACTCCTACAGCTCTCGCAACAGCAGTGTTCTGGTCGAGGGTTGTCATTTTCTGATCGTCGGGCTGAGGATGGGACCGTGCCGCAACCTTCGCCGACGCATCCACAAAATTGTTACCGATGCGCATGAACTTATCATCTTCGCAAGTTGCCTCTGAGACGTCCAAATGCGCCTTCACCTTCCGCACATCAACGAACGGAAGGTTTTGCCGGACGAACTGGGCACAACCAGAATACATCCTCTTATGTGATGTCTGATTGACCCATGAAAGCGAAACATAATCGTACACATTTGGGCAATCCGTAAAAATAGTGGACTTGGAACTTTCATGTCGAGCAGCAGCAGCAAAGGCATGAAAATCAGCACTCTGGGGAGTTTGGGGATAAGGAGGCCAGACGGGACCCCTGATACGGATAACCTCCTGGAGGGTCTGCCTGTCAAGCAACGTCACGGCCCAGCCTGCTCGAGACAGCTCAGGCACGAGATGTTTGAAGCAGGATCCGTCGACGAAGAGCTCACCGTGGAAGTCACGCTCAAAATCAAAATGCTCGAAGCCGGGGCAAAGCTCCGTGACAACGCCATCTTCGAACAAAGGCTGAGGATGCCACTCGCTAGGATGGGGAAAGACTCCGAACGAAGCAAGAACATCATCCGCTTCCCCCGCCCACTGCTGCACCTTAGCTGGCACAAATTCGTCGCGCTCTGCCTGGCAGGCCGGGCAACACCACAAGCGGTGCCTAAGTGTGTCGACTGCATCATGGCAGAGCTCGCACACATCACTAACATCATACCCGAGCCCTTTGGCCCTAGACCGGGTATCAACGGCATGGCAAAACAGGGACCTAATTCACCCTTTCTCGAAGGCGGTCATCTTCGCGCTGCGCAGCCAAGAAAGAATACCTTCCCCGCAAGCCCGGCCAATATTCAACCTAGCTCCGAGATCCCACTCCAAAGTCTTGATGACGGCTCTGCGAAGCAAAGCCCGCACCATGGCAGGCGAAACCTGAGTGAGGTGAATATCGATACCTCGGTCATCACGGAGCACCGTGAAAGAAGGCATGGTCCAAGAAATACGCTCAAGAGACTTCCTCATCGCGCTGATCGGGCTCGACACCGACCTCCACAGCCCCGAATCCCGAGAGAACACCGAATGCCAAGCCGATCGCAGCTTGGCGAACGAAGTAGAGAACGGGCATTTTAAAGCCGATGGTGGGTGATCCAGACCTCCTTGGCCCAACGGGCGATCGGGGCGACCGCCGCAGTCCAAGTGGGGTCGCTATGGCAAAGCAGGAGCGCCGTCAAGCTCCTGCCCTTAGCGCTGGGGCGAAGGGCTTTGCCGGCCATGCGCCGCAACTGCAATAACTCATAATCTGAAACCCCGTGGATGTCGCAACCATGCGTGCGCCTGGGAGGGGGCCGGCAGTAAAAACGCGGTTGCCCCGCTGCCCACCGATGGTGGGCCTCAAACGCCCAAGCCGGGAAGTGCGAGCAGACGCACTCTGCATCCGCTCTTTCGCCTTCGCGGAGCGGCGCCTTTCACACGGCGGGGGCGACCAGCGCAATCGTCCACCCCCAAATTGCCAGCCCAGGAGGAATCAACCACAGGCCCCGCCAAACCCCCAAGAGCCCTAGCAAGGGAGGGGGTGGAGGAGGAGGAGGAGGAGGAGGAGGAGGAGGAGGAGGAGGAGGAGGAGGAGGAGGTGGTATAGGGGGATCTCCGCTGGGGGGCGGGGGGGGGGGGGGGGGGGGGGCGGCAGCAGGCCGCCCCACAGCGCCACCCCGCCGGGCACTCGCGAGCGCCCCGGCCCAGGCTCGGGCCGATGCGGGAGGCCCGCGCAGTCCTGCCAGGGAGATGGGCCAGGACTACCACCGTGGCCCAACGGGGC